TTTTTTTTATCTTGTCATAATTTGCAGAGATACATAATTCTTGTCACTTCGGATACACAAAAGCAAGAACATTTTGCCCTTTTGCAAAAACCTTGGTAAACACACCCACCATTAGCCCCACAAATTCTGAACAACGCTTCCTGGTTACTTAGCCCTTTCTTTCCACACAATCCATCCGCCGCCTTCCCTTTTTTTTGTTCTCTTTTTTTTTTGTTGTTTTTTTTTTTTTTTCCTCGCTTGTCTTCTTTTTTTTTCCACTGACTTTTTTTTGTGTTCCACTTTTTCAATTCTTTCACGCACTCCCATGGCCGTTGAAAACAATAAGCTTCTGCGCTTGCAATTTTTCTCTAATTTTGGTTTTTTTTTTGTAAATGGTTCGAATGGCGGGGCTTTTTTGCAGCGGAATGTTTGTTAAAATAGCAAGCAACAACGTTGGATTTTTTAACCAGAAATTCAAATTACATTCTTCGAAAAAAAATTCTAAGCCAAAACTTTTCTTTAAGAAAAAAGTTAAAGCAAGCCTTGCCAATTCAAGATTTTTCTGAAAGAAAATACACGGTCCGTTTTCTTTTTTTTTTTTTTCTCCCATTTAAATGGTGTTTAATACTCTTCATTTTCCAAAAAAATTATATCCCCACAGTTGCCAACTTTTTCAAGATAAAACACCCCAAATACCTGTTTTTTTCGACAAACCAATAGAAAATGTTCCTTTTTCTTTGAAACAAAAAGGTTTCTCTAAATTTTTATAAAAAGGGGAATCCAAAAAAACAGAACCAGGGGGAATTTTTTGTTTTTTTTTTTTGTTACCAGGGCTTTTTTCTTGCCTTCCAGTTTTTTTTGTCATTCCAATTTTTTCCATGTGCCCAAACACAATTAATTCTACGGATTTTTGACCTCCTTCAGCGGTCAACTTGTGAACTCTATTTTTTTAGATTTGGTAGGGGGAAGTCTTGATTTTATAGGCTTTTCTAGAGTGAGCATTGTTAATGCCCCCACTCATCCCAATTTTGTTTTTTTTTTAGCCGAATATTCTTTTGCTTTTGCCACCTCCCTGGATTTTGATTTTCTTTGGGGCGCAAAAAAAAAATTCCCCCGTCCTATTTTTTTTCTTTTTTTCCCCCCGGGAAAAGGGCCGGGGCAAAACACCGGTTTTTTTTTTCTTTGTTTTTTTCTCTTCGTTGAAAACGAAAAACACTACAAAAACAAAAAAAAAAACCAACAACAAAGAGAGAAGGAATTTAAACAGCCCCCAATTCAAAAAAAAATTTGGAAAAAAAAAATAGAAAATTTTTTTTTGGAAAAAAAAAGTTTTTTTTTAAAATAAATTTATTTTTTAACTTCTTGGGAAAAAAAAGTTAAAAAATTTTAAATTTAAAAAAAAGCCCCAAAAATTAATCCTTTGTTCTTTTTTTTTTTTTTTTTTTTTTTTTTTTTTTTTTCCCCTTTGGGCCCAGCGCCCCCCTTTCTTTTTTTCATTTTTAATTTTTGGGCTTTTTTTTTTTTTTTTTTTTTTCTTTTTTTTTTTTTTTTTTTTTGAAATTTTTTTTTTTTATGAGCAAATTTATTTAAGAAAAAAAAGGGGGTTTTCCACATTTTCTTTTTTTTCTTTTCTCTTTTTTATTTTTTAAAAAAAATTTTAATTTTGTTTTGTTTTTACTTGGTTTTTTAACTTTATTCAAAAAAAAACCCCTTTTTTTTCTCTCTCTTCTCTCTTCCTTTTTTTCTACTTTTTTTTTTTCTTTTTTCTTTTTTTTGGTCTCAAAATCAATGAAATTTGCTTTTTTTTTTTTTTTCCTTTTTTTTTTTTTAAAAGACAAGCCTCTTTTTTTTTTTTTTTTCCCAAAAGGGTTTCCAACCCTTAAAAAAACAAAAGAAAACCTTTTTTTCTTCGGGCTTTTCCCAAGTTTTTCTTTTTTTTTATTTTTTTTTTTTTTTTTTTTTTTTTTGAAAAAGAAAGTTTCCCCCTTTTTTTTTTTTTTTTTTTTTCTCTTTGCCCAAAAGTCCCTCTTTGGTTTTAACAAAACAAAATTTTTTTTTTTTCAAAAAAACAAAGAAAAAAATTTTTTCCTTTTTTTTTCTTTTTTTTTTTTTTTTCCCTCAAAAAATTCAACTCGTTTTCTTTATTTTTTTTTTTCCCGGGGGCTTCCGTGGGAAGAAAAAAAAAACAAAAAAAAAAAAAGAAAAAAAAAATTTTTTTTTGGGGAAAAATTTTTTTTTTTTCCCTTTGTGGAGTGTTGCTTTTGGGAATTTTTTTTGGCGTGAAAAAAATTTTGAAAATTTTTAAAATTTGAAAAACAAAAGATTTTTTTAAAATTTTTTTTTGTCCCCTCTTTAATTTTTTTTTTTTTTTTTTTTTTGGGTGGGTTTTTTGTTGAAAAGTTTTTTTTTTTTTTTTTGAGAAAAAAAAAAAAAAAAAAACCCTTTTTGGTTTTTCATTTTTTTGGATTTTTTTGCGGTTTCCCCCGTTTTTAAAAAAAACAAAAAGGGCCAAACGATTTTCCTTTTTTTTGTTTTTTTTTTTGGCGGTTTTTTTTTCCCTTTTTTTTTTTTTTATTTTTTTTTTTTTTTTTTTTCTTTTTTTTAAAAAAGCCCAAAGTTTGTCTTTTTTTTTTTTTTTTTTGGGTTCGAAGGGGTTTTTTTTTTTAAATTTGGGCAAATTTTTTTGGTTTTTTTCTTTTTTTTTTTTTTTTTTTTCGCGCCAGGGTTTTTCCCCCCCCTTTTCCCAACCACGGTTAAATTTTTTTTTTTTTTTTTTTGGGTTTTTTTTTTTTATTTTTTTTTTTTTTTTTTTCTGCCCTTGGCTTTTTTTCCAAAATTTTTTGAAAGAAAAAATTTTTTTTTTTTTAATTTTCTTCTTTCAATGAAGGAAAAGATTTGGGGGGTTTTTGGGTTGGGGGGGAAAAAAACAAAACCGTTTGGTTTTTTTTTTTTTTTTCCAAAAAAAAAATTCCCCAGGTTTTTTTTTTTTTTGGCTGAGTTTTTTTAACAAAAAAAACCTTTTTTCTTTTTTTTAAACAAAGAAAAAAACAAAAAACAAGTCCCTTTTTGGGTTTAACAATTTTGGGGTTTTTTGGGTTTTTTTTTTTTGAAAATTTTTTTTTTTTTTTTTTTGGTAAAAAAAGTTTCCCCTTTTTTTAAAAATTTGTTTTTCATTTTTTTTTTTTTTTTCCCCAAGAAAAAAACTTTTGTTTTTTTTTTTTTTTTTTTTTTTTTTTTTTTTTTTGATTTTTTTTTTTATTTTTTTTTCTGCGAGAAATTTGGGTTTTTCTGGGGGGGGTAAAAAGCAAAAAATGGTTTCAAAAGACCAAGAAATAAAATAACTGCAAAAAAAAATTTCCAATTTTTTTGGAGGTTTAAAAAAAAAAAAAAAAAATTTGTTTTTTTTTAACCTCCCGTTTTTTGGGGTTTTTTTTTTTTTTTTTTTTTTCAATTTAAAACAAATCTTATTTTTTTTTTTTGCTTTTTGGGACCGTTTTTTCTTCTTTTTTTTTTTTTTTTAAAAATTTTTATTAACCAATTTTTTCTTTTTTTTTTTTTTTTTTTATTTTTTTTGAATTTTTTTTTGTATTTAAAAAAAATTCCTTTTTGGTTTTTTT